AAAAGCGCTCCCGGCAATGGGCCACCAAACTACTCGGGCAACAACAACAATGCGAAAAGCGCAAATCCAAGCGCCATTTGGTTTTGCATGAGCGAAATCGTTTAAATTTATTGTGCGCTGCATTTCACGCCCTGTACACTTTTAATCAGCCGGCACAATTTTTGGCATTATCCCCATTGCAAAAGCGCAGCGCATTTTTCTGCGCTAGGGTACAAAGTTTTTACGCTATGCTATATTGAATTTCAATTTTCCGACAAAACTTTTTGGCCCCGTTTTCCTACAGAGTTAAAAAAAAAATTAAATAAAAATGCACTAGCTAAATGAGAAACCGAAGGGTGGAGAGGAACAGGAGAGGCGCGTAAAATGATTTAAAACCTCAAACAAAAACTAAAATAAAATAAAAACATTTTAAAATACTGTAGCCAAATAATTTTGGCTATAAACTCTACCGATTTCCCTGACAGCTCAGGAACAACGCAGCCATAGAAGTTTTAATTCTGTCATGACTTCATATTTATATTCGTATTCTACACTCGAAATTAATTAAGCACTTCCCCATCAACAATTCTGAGATGTTCTGTTCAAAATCCAGCGCGAGAGTTCTTACAACAAAGCAGCCATAAAAGTGTGTTTTCTGAACATGATGTCATGACTTCATATTTAATCGCAAACAATTAAACAATTTTTAGAAGTTCTATTCGAGTTCCTAAAAGAAAGTTCTTACAACAAGGAATCCATATAAATGTGTCATGACTTCACATTTAATCAATTCTACGCTCGAGACTTCCCCAAAAACAATTCTTAGATGTTCTCTCCAAATGTTCTCTCCTGATGCTCTCGCCAAATTCCCTGTAAATGCCTTTGCAAAACATAAAAATCATAGCAATTTGTATGATATCATGACATATCCTATTTTATCCTCTTTATTGATTCTTTATCAAGGTTTTATCAGGCGTGAGCAAAACTTTTTATTTTACAGATTTGTGCACGACCCACTTTTTGTTTGTTTTAAATGTAATCTTCTCTGTTTTCGGTTGAAAGGCGATTAAATATAACAATACCGTTATTTTTTTAACCAATTCTACGCACATGTTTTACCTTAATTAAAGCAGATTTAAATGTAATTTATTTATTAATATTGTTTGCTTGCTCCGACCGCACGCCGCCCTGGTTTTATTATAGATTTTCTCACAATATAGCTAGTGTATTATTGTATGGCGTTTCTTTTCAATGCATTTTGCGCTGTCACAAATGAAGTGATTGATTGATTGATTGATGATGTCACTTAAAACGGCGCATAAAATACTCGAAATAATAACATTAAGCCTGAGCTGCAAGCCTGAAAACGTGTAAATAAATATATAAATCAAATAAAAAAATTATTGCACCAACAACGCAAAATAATTAAATCAACATGAATGATTTAACGCTCCAAATGCAGTCCACAAAACTTTCACACAACACCCACTCGAAAACATTTCCAAACACGCCCCAAAGTTACACAGATACAGATAGTATGGGATCAGGGCAACATTCGGAGTTGACAAGTGCCGACAGCCAAAACAAGCTGCTACAAAAAATGAATAAAAATGTGGCACAAGGCAAAAGTATGAAAAAAAAAAACAAAAGGCATGAACGGCACACCGAAGTTAAAATGCCCTTGTAGACATGAGGATTAGTGTTTAGCAGATATGTTATGTGAATAATGAAGCTTGTAATTGCAAAGTCAGGTGAAAATATCTTTAAAATATCCTACATTTTCCCATACAAAAACTCATTTAATGACTCATGATAAAGGAGGATAGAGCAACTTACAGGTGCCAAGATAGAAGAGAAAAACTTAACTGTCGAACTATTGATCCTATGGGAGATATATGATATGGTGATTATATTAGGTCAGTTCGAACAAGATTTGGTTAAATTAGAGAGGAGTATAATGAAACTTCCTAATGCCTAAGCTTGGGCTTAGTTTAGAAGAGAGGAACTTAATAGAAGATGATCCCTCACTCTTCATATATAGCAGCTGTAGGATATGGTGATCCGATTGGGTTGGTTCCAACATATGTACTAGCTCCAAAAGAAATAAAGATACATGCAAGTTCCTAGGCTTACGCACTAGTTTGCGTAGAATCAGACAGACAGATAGAGGGTTCGGACGTTGTCTCAGCTGTTGACACTGAACAATTATATATGCACTTTATGGCAAGGCCTTCTTCAATGCACTGCTCATTTTATCTGAACATATATATACTCCCTCAGGCTACATGTATATATATATATATACATATATATATATGTATAGCTAACAAATATTTGACGTAATGGTTGAGCTTTATGTAAAGTTAATTTGCCGTATGCTGAGTTTTAACCATTTCACTTTCAGTTTGAGCGACATGTTTATCGTACTTAGCGTATTTTTATACATTTGTCTGGTTTTTTTTTTTTTCTTTGGTGACCAAGTCAAATATTATTACTCACCCAATTTGCCCGTCCCTCGACCAGATAGGTTATTTATTTTTGTACGTAAATATTTCCATATTTATTTTTGTTATACTAAGCCAACAACAATTGCAACGCGCAGCACTCACAACTGTCTGCAAATATTTTTTTATTAGCTCTTGTTTTGTTTTCAATAAATAACCGGGTATTGTCAAAAACAGCACAGCGGATATTTGGTAGCCAACAAAAATGCATTTAAATGGTCAACGTGAACAAAAAAAAAGCAAACAAAAAGCCGTGTAAACGGGCCAATGTTCCGCATACGCCGTGTGGGACAATAGCAGGAAATGGGCTGAACGCAAAAAAAGAAAGAGAGGCAGAAATAAAAAGGAAACGCAGCGAAAGGCAGCAACTTTAATCAATATTGAAGCAGTTTTTGAGGCCAATAAATCATTTCATAATCAATTTTGCCGCTGACATGTATCTCGCTGTACGAGTGTGTGTGTATGAGTGTGTGTGTTACTCTCAGATGCACAAGGGGCTAGAAATAAAAGAAGCGTGCGCGGCACATGGCCGAACACAAAAACTTTGACCACCTTGCGTCATGTGCGCTGTGTGTGAGTGCAATAAACAAACCACACACACGCACACACAAACACACGCATAGGCACACACAAACACATGCAGTAGCTAGCATTGTGCAGAAAAGTGAAGTGCAAAAAACAAGCAACGCCAAAATAATCAACAGATGTTGCAAACAACAACACGTAGCACGCTGCACGACGAAAAACGGCCTATCTCACGAGCTCTCTGCGTGTTCGTGTATGCGTTTCACTGTGTGAGTGTGTGCCCGTAAATGAAAAGCGGAAGTTGAAAGTTCAGCGCCACTGACAGCGCCAGGCCAGGCCGAGGTCGCCAGCGTCAACAATGACAGCAGCAACAGCAGCAGCAGCAGAGGCGGCAACATCGTCAGCGTCTGCCCCAAAAAGTATGCTACGCTGACTGCCGTGCCTGCTGTTTGTATACCCTGCTTACCAAATGTAAACGAGTGTATTGTTTAAGCAAAAATTTCGTCTTGTTTGTATTAATGTAAACCTGGAATGGCCATTTAAGGGATTTCATAATCACCCGAGTTCTATTAGTTCTTAATATTTTATTTAAATAAGTAATTTTTTTAATTTTTATTTACTTAAAGCAAATAGTGAATGAACGTGGACTTAAATTTATTTTACATTGACTTTCAAGTTAAAACTCGATTCATCGTCTCGCGTTCTATCGATTTATCGTGAATTAATTCAAAATATACTCGCCTGTTTATTTTAACTGATTATAAATTCGACCACTTCTGGTTTTATTTTCAAATACTTTTATTTCTGCCTGGGGAAAGTCCTTATAAAGCCCTCGACGAATCAGGAAAATCTTGAAATAGTTCTTCTAGCTTTACAGCAAGGTCTCAAATGTTTAAAGAAGATGCGTTTCTATGTTCGTAAAGTTTCTACCTCTGATTACACTTCGTGTAGAGTATGAGCCGGTCGTTTGCAGCCGACTGCGATTTGTTGTTGATGTTGTTACTGTGGGGTGTGTGTATTGTGCGAACTTCAAGCGGAAATTAAGTGTGACCTCTTCGCGTGGCTGTGAACCGGGCGGGGGCCAGCGCAAAAATAACGAAAGCGTATACAATCCAACGCGCATATCAATGCCTGTGGACGGACATTCGCACACATTTGCCAAGTGCTGCTCCGACACTCCATTTGCAGTTGCGGGCGGCCAAAGGGCCGATACCCCGCCCTCGCCCTCCTTCCCCTTCCCCCTGGCCCGGTGCTCCAGTTGCTGCCCCATCGGTGATTGTGTTTGCGTGTTGTGATGCGTTCAAAATTGTATTTGCCTAGCATTGTGGATGTGAAGGATGTGGCATGTGTGTGCGCGAGTGTGTGTGTGTGGCAGGATGCAGCGCCAATTGGCCTTTGGGGCACTTTGATTTTTTCATTGGATTTGATGAGTGCGTCACTTGGCCCAGCGAAACGTTTTTAGTTATCAAACGTTTCGGTTTTCGGTTGGGCAAAAGGCCAAATATGTATATATAAATTGCTGCCTGCCTCTGCCTAACTGACCGGCATGTAATAAAGCCGCTCGCCCGTACCAAAATGGATGTTGCGCCCATTGCCACGCCCATAAGCAATGCCAATGTAATCCAATTTGAGGCGCAGCCTCTAAAATATAGCAACTGTTGATGTTGATGTTGGTTTTTGCGAGCAACCAAATTGTTTTCGGTCCAACAAAAACAGCTACCACAGAAAAATGTATCCTTAATATGAATGTATAAGCGGATTTTCAGCTTCTCCCAGCTGTGCAGTCCTTATATTTACAGCACTAATAACAACTCTCCCATCAAAAGCTAACATACTTATGCTACGGATTAAAATATTTGGCAAGCAGCAACAGGCGAGAGAAAATTAACTGATTTTTTCATTGGGCTACAGGTGCAAAGCTTGGTAAGGAGCGAATTCTATTAGAAAGCAAAAAGCTCAAAGTGCAATGATTAATCAGCTTTATTTGTCAGTTTTATTTTGTGCTAAAAGTGTCAAAGAGAATATTTATAAAAGTTTATTAACGCTAAGTACTTGCGTCCACACACACACACACACACACACACACACATATACGCAACGCAGCACATTAGAAATGACCATAAAACACAAACAAAACAGTTGCCAAGAACAACAACAATTACGAAGACCAAGTTGATCGTCATGGAGCGCTTCCAGAAGCAGACTTCAAGTGCGCCAACAACCACAGACGTGGGGCGTGAAAGAGGAGGGTAGAGGAAGAAGGTGGAGCAGAAAAAAACTGGCACAAAGTGCACAGAACGTACTTAGAACGTCTTTAAGTTCAACATAAAAAAACACACAACTTGGGCAAACATAAATCCCAACAACACAAGCAAACGGTAAGTAACACACACCCACGCACACCCACATGCACAAACACACACTTATACACCCGCACAGCTAACAGTTGAGAACATATTAAGACTGATTTTAGCCTTAGGCAGTCGCTGGGCAGCTGGCCAGCATATTTAGGCGATTATTTATGGCCAATGGCGACGACGAAAAATCCGACACTCGGCGCGACTTGTTGGCAAGCACATGGATATAGCTACAGATACAGATACAGCTGCACATTTATAGCTAACAATATATGCGTCTGGCTGGCTGTGTGTGTGTGTGGAGGCGGCAGCAAACAAGCCCAAACATGAGCGGATCGACCACTTCCACTTGCCAACTGTCTGCTGTTTATTGACGGCAGCAACAACAGCAACAACAACAAACAACAACAAACAACCGACAGAATTGACACTGAGCGACCCAAAACGGCAGCCAAGCCTGTGACTGCCAAAATGGGATCTACTTACAGAGCGCAGACCATGCCCCCCAGTCCCATGTCCCCCAGTTCCATGTCCCCCTGTCCAGTCCAGGCACGACAAGCAGCAGCAGCTCATATGTTACATAACTCGGCCACACAGTGGAGCAAAAAGAAAACACAGAAGTATACACACAAAATAAATGAAACAAAAATTCATTTTAGCTTATTACAAACCGAATTGAGAATTAAGCTACGAATTGGAGCAGAATGAAAACTGTCACCAGAGAGCCCACATGATATGCTTTTGAAAGATAAATTGATAAGAGTTAGCTATTGAAGGAGATGACAGACCTTTGTTTAAATATTTTTACACACTGGCAGAAGATGTGATAAATGAGTCTTATTTATATAAAGAATAAAATAATTCTACTGATATAGAAAATAAGTCTATTAATATAAAGAAGCAGACAATTGTACTTAAAACTGCGTTCAAAACACCTTAGCTACATATCAAATGAGATACTTTTGAAAGATAAATTGAAGAGTATGCGATTGGATGATATGACATACTTCTGACAAAAAAAAATAATCTTATTTATATAAAGAAGCAGACAAAAGAGTATTTCAAGAGATCTAAGATACAAATAAAATGAGATGGTTATCAAAAATTAATTGATGAAGTAGATGACAGACTTTTGTGTATCATTTTTCATGTAGTGCATGAAGATGTGATGATATTGACATGAAGAATAATTCTTATTCTTATATAAAGAAGAGACAATCGTACATTCAACTGACGTTAGACGTTAGATACCCATTTTTTTATCCATTCATCAATCAGATCTTTACCCACATGGGTAAAAGATTTCTTTATCCATCGATCGGTCAAAATCTTCTGATCTCTACCAAGCAAAAGGCTGTGACATAAGATGAGGGCTATTTACAATGGTGGGATATTTGAATAAAAAGGATTGGCCACATGGCCGCTTCTGTAGGGTGTTTAAATCATTCTCCTCTTATGTAGGTCGCAAATGATGATTCGTTTCGAAGGTGGGTTGCCGAAGTGTAGCCTTTGGTGGCCAAGACTCTGATGAGAGATTTCAGATGCCGCAACAGCTGCTGACATTGTTTTGATCTTCGACTTTTATTAGAACTATGCTCGTGTATCGATCGTTTATTGTATATCTCTTCACAGTCGCCTCCAACTTTGAATATGGAACCAGTGTGCCGCAGCTGAAGAGGCTGTTCCTGTCAGCTAGTGAAATTTTTTCCTGCTCGTTTTATTTCGCTTGGGTTTGTCATTTTGACAAACGAAAACAACATTTGATATCCCAAACAAGTGGGAGCCTCCTGGGAGCGCTTGCCACGCCCACACGCCCCGCTTGTCACTTGTTTGCGGCGGCGGGAACAATGGAGGGGCGTGGCGGGTCGCATGCTGCAACGTGGCGTATGAGTAACTTAATAAATTTGACAACAATGCCGCACAAAGGCAAACAAATGCAACAATGCCGCCGACCAGAGTTGTCACCATTTACGGCAGCAGCTACTGTTGTTGTTTTTCCTGCTGCCGCTGCTGCTGCGCATTTTCAATTTGTTTTTCGCGGCACTGCGGCGCGGCTTGTAAACAAAATCCGGCGGAAAATGCGAACAAGCGACGCTTACGAGCAGCCAAATAGCCAAAGAGCCAAAAGGAAATGCCATTTTGTCGCCCACCTCCAGTTAACCCCACACCTCCCTCGCCCCCTCCCTCGCTGCCATTCTCGGCGGGGTCATTTGGCCAGCGTTGACAAGCGTGTTAAGCCGAGTTGGGCCACCCCCTCTCCCTCTTCTACCCCTTTCCCCCAGCCACTTTGTCAGTGTTTACAAATTGCGCAATGTTTGTTTGGCAACCTGTTTGTTGGCATATTTGTTTGTTTGTGGGCCGTTCGGCTCTTTTGGTCGACACAAAAGTTCGTTTTAATATCAACATTTTTAATAAATATGCAGCGCTGACCACAAAACGCACTTTGGCTTATTGCAATTGCAACTGTAGCGCACAATACAATGAGCCAAATGTAATTTTAAGCCCCAGGCAAGAACTCGAAATCTGCAGATATTGTAACTGAAAATTAATGTGGAAAATGTCGGCAGGCATGTATATACAATTTCAAGCGAATGCAAAACGTACCTGTCCTACTGATTGACTGACTGACTGACTAAAGGCTGACTGAAGGCTGATCGATCGCAGGAGCTAGAAACTATATTTTCTCAAAGAATGTACGAAAAAAATACAACTTTTGTCCGATCAACCTTTTCCATTATGAGTTGTGTCAAACGGCAAATTGAGATTAATATAAGATAGTATAAGACGACAACATAAGTTGATTACTAAGGATTAAAAAGGACCTCGACCTCAAAAACTCATTAAAGGAAAGTAATGTCATCAAATGTATTAAAACTAAAAACCACCCAAACAAATAAATACATTTTGTGACAGCTGTGCAGATACATATTTAAATTCCAGCGAATACAGTTAAAAACTGCTGCTGGATTTGAGCCATAACCTCTTAGTCAGATGCTCAGGCACCTTAAACTGTTAGCCAAAATTACAAAAAAAAAAAAAAAATCGAATATTGCTACACACTAAAATGCAGATATTTGATGCTGCACATTTTTGGTAAATAGCTAAAAAACAAAAATACGAAACTGTGAATTTTACATGCATAAAGCGGTTCGTTCATTTTAGTTTTTTTTTCGGTTTTTTTTTGTCGCTGATTTGCATTCACTGCTGAAAATTACAACTCGGGAAAAGCAGCTTAACATAAATTTCCACGAGCTGGCTACCTATACATAATTCCTCCTACTGCCCCCCCCCCCCCCTCTCTCTCTCTGCCTTCTTCCACCCTTCCCCAACTGTATGTGTGTATAACTAAACATTTACATTTCATTAAAACTAAAAACAACACACAAAAGCAGCCAGCACGACATGAAAACGTAAACGAATACGAAAACTAGCCAAATGCACACACACACACACACACACACACACACAGAGACACACACAGATACAGGACAGACAGACAGACGGGCAGCTCGTATAGTGGCATGTTAGCAGCATACTTTTGGGCTAGGTAAAATGCCTTCGCTGCCCATACCCAGATTGTGTCCCACTACACTATGAGAAATGTTTATCATTATTTCTACCAAGATTGTATTTGTATACCATGATCAACCAAAAGGCGTATTTTGACACCTAAGCTAATAAGAAAGAAAATGGGGTCTTAAAATTATTCTCTTTTTACTTTTTTTGTCGAGGAAAAAGTAAATATGAAAAAAATTATTCAACTCAGAAAATAATTTCAAGTTAAAAATTGAAAAGGTGTCTTTGACACCTTTGGTAGAAATTGTGTTAAAATACAAACGTTTTCTAGGTTTTCAGCGTTGAAATTTCTTAAGGTATAAAGTAAGTTTTTATTGTAAGAACTTTCGTTACTAAAGAAAGCATCTTTAAGATATTCGTGAAATTAGTAGAACGCGTAGCTTGGTAGGCTGCCCTAAACCCGCTTCAAAACTGTGGACTATTTAAAGAAGCTATGAGATTTAAAAGATAGCCCCTTTTTTCTGAGTGCAGCAACTGCAACTTGTCGTCCTGTCGTGCGGGCCTGAGCTAGCGCTCTGTGCAAGGTGAGTGCCACTCGAGAAACTGCCAGTTCTGAGCTGAAAACTCCGAGCTGTATAAGTGTGTGTGTGTGTGTGTGCTGGTGTGTGTGTGTCTCTGCATCATATCGCTTTTTAAAACACACATACTTAACTCGACGTTTTTCACTCAACGAGCTTTTACGTACCGGCAACAAAGTGTAGAAGTGCAACAACAACAATGCCACAGCTGCCTCTCATCTCTGTCGCAGTTGGAGTGTGCATATGTGCACGTGTGTGTGTGTGTGTGGGCTAGGTTTTATTTTCATACGCAAAAAGTTGGCCAGCATCAGTCAAAATGGAATGCGGTTCATTTGGGCCACTGTAGTAGCGAAATAAATAGTATATTTTGCCCGAGTGCCACTCATGGAAATTGCACAAAAAACAACGCGCAGAGCAGAACCTGTCCCGACCCGGGCCGAGACCTGAGTCCTGATCTCACCGGGTTCTAGTCCTATGGCTCCTGCCTGACTCGTCCTGTGCCTATGCCAAGTGCCAGTCAAATATATGAATTGGCCGCCGAGCCAGTTCTCTTGCAACATAATAACAAGAAGTTGCTCTGTGCCCATTTACAGCCAACATCGTATACATTTCTGCCCCCCTCGTTTACCCCGCTGCCCCAATTGTTGCCTTTGTTCCTCAGAATATACACAGAAACTCTCACACACACATACGTAGATACAAAATGCATCCTAATTACGCTTTATGTTTAGCAGCTCTATTCAATTAGATGTAATGCACGTTCCGAGCCATAACTAAAATCGCAGAAATCAGCAAAAAAAAAAGAAGAAATGAGCAAGAGTGCGCGGTGTAACCGACTAGGAGATGCCGTACAGCTCACCACAAGCATGTTCACGATCTATACGGAGGCTGTAAATGTGGCAACAATGTTTGCTTAGAACTATTGCCTCAAAAATATACCTCCAAAAATGTAGGGGTTAATCTTCTTTCCTTTTTTTATTAGCTAATTTATTGATACTACTCTGGAGCATCTAGAGCATCATTAAATATTACTTATTAATCTTTATAATTATTCAATTGAGCTTTTCTTTATCTGAGTACCCGGCTTGGGATGCATCCTGCGAAGTCTCCCTCGCATTCTTCACAATATATTGGGGGCAAACATCTAAAAAGGTTCTACTCTTGTCTTGAACCAACTTCTATAAACGCGTAGATATCTTCATTGCGCGGCAAAATTTTACTATTAAGATAAGTTATAATACATTCATATTATATTGTAAATAATTCTATATTTATTTACTACAAAAGAGCGCTAACGTCCAGGCCGTCAGCTCACATTACAAAATTATAATACCTCTCTCTAAGGGATTAGGTAAAAGAGAGAGAGATGCTCGGCAACATTTCATAGTTCGTGCAACGTGCCACAGACATTTGTTACCTGCCCCAATGTTTAATTAAAAACTAAAGCAGCTGCCGCCGCCGTTTTGCTGTTTACACTTTGAGCTGGCACTTTTCATTTTAGCCGTGTTCAATTTCCAATTGTGCAGCATAAACGCAATTTATATATTTTTCACATTTTTCGTGTATTTGTTGCAGTCGTTAAGAATTTTCAGTAGCTGTCAGCAGCTTTCCACGGCGACACTTTAACGTATGTTGAATGTCAAATACTCTATTTGAAAAATTTTTAATTTATATTTAAAGCTAAAGAAAATAGACCAACTAGGACCGAGTCAAATGAATGCGGAATTATGCATATAATAAAACAACAAACTTGAGGATCATGCAAAATCATTTTAGTTGACCCAAGCATCTATGTCTAAAAGGAAAAACGTCCTTTCCTATATCGTTAAATGAATACTGAATATGGACACATATTAACATAGTATAAGAATATTTTTATGAAATTCTCACCAAACTTGATGCTTATGCAAAGTCTTTTAAATTGACCCAAGCGTCTATGTCTTAATAAAAAAAACATCTTTTCTTATCGCGTCTTTACGGGGCTTCGATATATTAGCTTCGCGCTCAGTTTCCCCTTTTTAACATAAACCCCCACTTGAAACAGATTAAGATACTTTCGTTCAATTATTTGAACATCGATTGAGCCATAATATGAGTTAATTAGTAAGCCAGGCTCTCCGGGCTAGCCTTTTGCCCGGCAGCCTATTTATCTGGATGATTTGTTCGTTGCGTGGCCAAAGCTGACGACGCACTGCTAATGACCCTGCATCGGTGTGAGGTAAGTGAAAAGTGCCAAGGCGCTGGCACTTAGCAGCCAATAAATTGTAATTCGACACGAGCTGCAGCAGCTGCAGGCGGGGGGGCAGGCGGCGGAAGTGAGAGCTCAGCCCGGGACAAGAGCGCGACGCGCGCATTCCTTTTGCTTCTGAAATGGAAAAATTAATTCTCAAACGATTTCGTTTGCTTTTGCAGCTGCTGCTGCCGTTGCAAGTTGAAGCCTTCCAGGCGCCTTTCTTTGCTGTGCCTGCAAAATGTCACAAACACACGCCCCCTCTCTCTTCTCCCTCTCCCCCACACTGCGCCATTTTTATATTAGTTTCATTTATTTTGCTTTATTCCACACAGCTTGCGCCCTTTTGCACACTCGCTGTTCGTTTTTATCACACGCCCACGCTGCCAGCATACAAGTGGCAAATAAATTCATTAGTGGCACAAATTAGTTGCATGCAACCAGCAGCAGCAGCATCCAACTCGGCCCAAGCCAGGCCAAGGCGAGGGACACTAAAGTGCTTTCAATTTCAATTAAATTTGCTACTCGCTGCAGTTGCAGTTGCCCTTTGCCCTCCGCCTCTCCCCCGAGTGCGTGCTGACTCAGGGGCACACTTAATGCTCGTTTAAGCGCTCGTTTCGCTTCATCTGCTGCCAACCCGTTTAGCCCTGTGTGTGTGTGTGTGTGTGTGTGTGTGTGCTGATTATGTAATCAAAGTATTTGCCAGCTAATTTATAGCCGCCGGCCTTTGCCCGGCAAACGCTGCGTATGCGCAACATTAAACACCTTAAAGTCAAGACTAACAAGCTGCAGGCGGTAAAAATCTTGGAATGCATTTGAAGAAGTTTTGGCGTTTAAAGTTAAACAATTCCAAGCTAACTTAGCTTTAAGTCATGGCGATTCATTTTACATTGAGTTAAGGAAAATTTGAACATTCGAAGAAACCTTTTTCTGTTTGTATGACAGACTGCAATATTTAGCTTAACCCATTGCTGCCGTTAATCATTTGACGCCCGACAAGCTTGAAGAAAATATATGTGACGACCCAAAGCAAATTGCAGCACATTTGTCGCGCCAAAGCCACATTCCCCCTAAGGTCATCTATCAACAGCTAAAGGTTAGCACCTAGAGACAAACAGCTCAAACAGACAACAATCGGCAAGGCAATAACAGGCATATATTTATATGTATATATCTGTGCACATACTTATGTGTGCTATTGTGGCTCCCTTTGCTGCCTACTGCCAGCTCATTTGTCAATACACACGTGCTCGCCGCTTCCTTTTCCGCTTTGTGTTATCCTGGCATTTCTCTGTGATCCCCTGGCAAAGGCACGCAGAAAAAATTTAGACAACGTCTCCCCCTGAAAAAATATGCCAGCAACAAAGCCAACGACATTTGGGCCGTGGGCGTGGGCGTGGCAGGCAGGTTGGCGCTGTTAAATGTACTTTAAATATCACTTAACGCGTTTAGCCTTGATTTCGAGGCCATGTCATTTTATCTCCCGCCGCCAAATACATTCGTATTCGCTTTGCATATTTATTGAGCGGGTCTCCGAGACCTTAGCCTATTCCCAGCTGGGAGTCGTGAGCTTAAAGCATGTGTGTGCCATTAGGCAACTAATATTAAATTCAATTCAATTTCGTAGCTTACAATTTTTATGGCCATGTGTAAGTACGTAGAAATTAAATTTCACATTTTAATGAGCCATCAAAAGGGCGAACAAAAGCGAAAAATAAATAAATAAACGAAAAATGGAAGCCCACATGCACAACAGGAAATAAGCAAAAAAAAATATATACAAAAGCAAGCGCTCGCTCGACTAGAATATACCCTGTGTACCCGCATAAATTAAATATTTAAGCTACCCCATTGTGAGATAGTTTCATGCAGGGTATACAAAGATTGAAAAGCAAAGCTAACAAAGCCCAAATGCTTAAAGTTAATTTAAATTTAATTAGGACTTTTTTTTCGGTATTGTTTTTTCCCTGTTGCAGGGGAATGTTGGTGGATCGAAGGGAGTGTGAGAGGGGGCGGGCGGCAGTTCCCAACGGACCAACTGTAAATGAAAATTGACGCAACGCAAGTTTATTAAAATGCGATTTGCATAAGGATATGGCACTGGAGCCGGTGTAAGCTCCAAGCTCCTGCCACATACACACACACAAGTCAAATGTAAGGCTGAAGCAGAGCCAATGAATTTTTTCACAGCTCACAGACACAACCGAATAAGGGACACAATCACAAGCCAAAGTCTCACTCACACACACACACTCGACACGGACAAGGGCGCCGGAAAAGTTCGGGGGAGGGGGAAAGCCAACCGAGCGCATTAATTTTCGCTTTTTCGCCTTTCACACGCATTTTATTTGCGTTCAAAACTCAATTAAAAGTAGCCAGGTCCAGATCCCGCCCAGCCGACCTTCGTCCCGGGCAGGCTTTACCTATTCCGCTTGGACGTTGACTTTTCTTTCTTACTTTCCTTGTTTTTTACAATTGACAATAGCTGAATGCCCAACTGTTTACCATGTTATTAAGTTGCTAATGGAGCTGTTGAACAAAAGTGTGAGCAATTGGATATTGTTTTAGAATACTCTGACAACTTATCTGGGTTACAGAATGAATAGCTATGAGGGAACTCTTAGTGGAGCCTTTTAAAGTGCAGCCCTTATGATTATTAAACTCTTAGCGAAAAGGGGATAAGTGTGGCAGACCGAGAAGGACTTTGCTGATCTTTCCGCCAGTTGGATATGAATTTCATTATTATAAAATACACTCATTTATTTCTCTAGACATTTAGACTTGAATATAACTTAAATATTAGAATTGTAATTGAACCTCCTTTCAAAGTCGAAAATTTGAAGAACAATTTTGTAGTCAAATCAAGCACTATCCTTGTCAACCTGGAAATATGTTAAACCAAGCACGAAATTCTTGATTTTTCAACTTTTTCTTAGCACCAACAAACTTAAATAGAATACTCTGCAGTTTTTAATCTAAGGAATAGCGTACCTTCATTAAGATTCTTTTATACTTAATTTGTGACTCAACCAAACTTTTTCCTTTAATAGGCCGACAATTTCAGTTTTAACAAACCATCATTAATTCAAACCCGCTTCAAATTTAGAATAGTCACTTTTCTCTGCGCATAGATACCCTGTAAAGGGCTCCCAGCTGACAATGAGCTGAAAAACAAAGCCTGTTATCTTCATCGCTTTTGACTGCAGCGTCATTTTAATTGAAATTCAACGGATTTTTGCAGCCAGCCGCAAAATGCATGACAGACAGGTAAAAAAATGTTTTAAAAATTACCCAATACCGAACTTTGAATACCCTTAAGAAGTGTTTGTTAAGTAAAGCGAACCCCAGTACATCTAGAATATTGGGGCAAATGTTAAACTTTGCCTGGAAAAGTATTTGATACTTAGGGGAATTATGTTCTAGTTGGTTGCTGGCTCGTATCCGACGATAGTGTGTGAATGTATTTAGGCTGTGATATCTAACAATATGATAGTTCCTCTCAAACATTTTGCCTGCCTGCTGGCCCAGCTATTGTTGCCGACTTGCAGCAGTGTATGTGCACAAAAATCAAATAAAATAAATAATATGGCAAAAAAGTGCAGCCAAAATGAAAGGGCGTTAAAAGCTGGCGGGCCACACGTCAGCATCGGCAATCAATGCCTGACCATGTGGCAGTTTTAATTGCTATGCATAGTTATATACAGATGGGATAGTTCGATAGTTCGAGCTGACTTTTATGCTTTGGCATTATTCGCATTGGCATTCGTTGCATTTAGCTGCTGCAACAATTGATGTGCGACTGGTCGCCAACTTCCTGCCACAACAATTGATGCGGCTTCTCCTGCACTCTTTGTCTCAATCTCCTGCTCGGCTTTGGCTCCCAGTTATGCTTGCCTCGAGCACAACGGAAGCTGTGCTGCAATAAAAATCAATTCGCCAGGAAGACAGCTCAAAGTGAAGTTGACCGAACGCCCGATATTAGAGTCATGCACACTCATACACACATGGAACCACATACACAGATGATAAGTGTCACATAAAAGTGAAAAAAAACAACAGCAAATGCATTGAGCGCTTTTAATAAATAAAATAAAACTTAAATTGAAAATTGTTGTCATCGTAAATTGATAATAATTATTTTTAATTGCATGCAATGAGATGTTGTTGTTGTTGCTGTCCATGCAAATTGCATGTGAAATGCCCGTCGAGCATCGGATATGACTAAAAAGACGCCGCTGTGCCACATTTGAAAGACCACATCACGCATACGCCGCATTTGCCGGCGCACATAAAAAAGCCATTAAGCAAACAACATTAAAATTAACTTAAATATTGAATAGCTGAAATGCTTTTGACATATTTACTTAATCGCATTTCCAAATGCAAATCCAACATGAAATATGTTTTTTCTTGTTGTTGTCCTTCTATTTGTTTTGATTTTCCATTAAATTTGTTGCCCGTTGTAATTGCCAAAAAATGTTGTAATGAATACTGCGACTGCGAGTGCAACAAATTAATTACAATTTGAATTAATTTTTGATTTCGTATATTTTGCGATTTTTTCCGCATATTACATTTAACATATTTATTTAGGCTCTTGTTTTAGATAAATATGTGCATGTAAATACGTAAAATTAATTGAAATCGTTTGTTGTCGGGCCCGGGCATTAAAAATTAAATTTATTTTGCATTCGTTGTTATTTAATACCAATTTAATTGACATTCGATGTTTGCAGCCTCTAATTAAAATTAAAATTTCAATTACAATTCTGTCTAATAAGATACAGCAGCTGTCAAATCGCATTGTTTGCATATGTAATTATGCATAGTGTATGCATCTTGCAGATACTTTTGTATCTGTTGGTCTCTGTCCGCCTGTTTGTCTGTCTGTGCACAAGTAAACTAATCATTTGCATTAATAATTCCATTTCAAGTGCTGTGTTATTTACCTGTGACTAGTAATTAACGTTAAGTCCGGGCCAACATTCGGAATTTCAATAATTACGAATGTATTTTTGTGTGGCACATCAAAAGACAAATTTGTTTATACACAATTTCCAGCTCGATGGAAATTTTGCAAATATTTGCAGTAAAAGCCTGCGGCATAAATCGATTGGCAGTAAACGCTAGACTTAAGTTATATATAAATATATACTTATATTTATAGCACATATGACAGAGTCTGCTCATGAGGACTTTGGTATAAAGGCTTATGAGCTCTTTTGAATATTTGATATAGAACGTCAAATTAAATATATAATAATAATTGCTTCACAGCACACAAACAACTGCTTATTATACTCAGTAAATTTCAATATAAATAATACATTTAGCAATAATAAAATGCGCCTAATTAACTAGCTACTGAATAGCATGGAATCGAAGGAAATTCTTACCTTTTTGTACCCTAAAATTTTGTCCACATTTTGTGCTTGAATATTCCTAAATAAGCTATGAATCATGCCAGAAAAAAAACATTTTGTTTAGCTATTGCCGTAAATTGCCAGCTTAAAATGTTTTCTCTGAAAATAGAAAACCTCTCAACTTGAGTACCGAATTTGTATCTTGTATTTAAGAACTTTGGGTTCATAAAAAAAGTGCTTGAAAAAAGACTTTCGCTCTTATTTTAAGAAATTACGCCCGTGGCTTGTACTTGACTTGAGTGCAAAATACATAATTTTTGTTTTATCTAAATTTCGCTTAAGTACACTTTAGTCTGGTTCATTTTGGCAGCCACAACACATTTATTTTTTTGGTCACTTACCAGAACTTTTTTTCGATGCTTTTTTTGCCTTTGGCTGAAGTTCACTTTGAATTAGTTTTTCTCACTTTGGCCACGTTCGAAAGTCTGTTGCTGGGGCTCTATAAATTAGCAGGGACGTCAGGCACAAATCCAGTGACAATGACTTTTAGTTCCGTGTGCCACATACACGCACACAGCTACACAGCCACACACTCAGCTACACACACACGGAAACGTGAAAGCGTATTAAAAACTCATTAAGCAGACTCTGAGTGTTTTTCCTATGTTTTTTTTTTATGCGCTCTCTTTTGTATATTTTTTTTAATTTTAATTTATGCAAATATCGACCGAAGTGAAACACACACACGCACGCACACTCGCATAAGCGTGTGGATCTGCCAAAAAGAATGCTTCGCTTTTATCAAGCAAATCGAATGTCAACACGCACAACCACACACAGGCACACACACATAGTCGCACACACAGTTCTTAAAACCGTGTCGTGAGTAGCGTGAGCAGCGTGAGGAGCGTGAGTCTTGGCGTGAGGGTCCAGCAGGTGCGATACGTGACCTAGGCCAAGCGTTAAATTCACGCGAAATGTTGGCTGCCAGAGGATGCCACACGACTCCGATTACGTTCAGCAGGTATAAGAAGAAGAAGTTGCCACACACACTCACACACACGTGTCGACCAAATCCGCTTAAGACACACTGACGACTGATTCTGTGCCACGCAGCGCAATGCCGCAAGTTGGGGCAACTTAGCCCCAAAATTTGTCTCGGCACCGCACTCGCATTCGCAGTCGGAGTTGCTGTTGCTCGGCTGGCACGGGGCTGGCACCCGGTGGGTACCCGGACCTGGGATACGGCCTAAGAGCATTGTGAGCTCTTAAGAGCGACTGTGTTCCATTCCCGTTCGTTTCGCAACTGGGCGCAACTGGTTCTGCCCATGGAAGGCGCCAAATGTGTGACATTGGAAAACGTCTCTCTCTCTCTCCCTGTCTCCCCTCTCTCTCTCTCTCTCTCAGAGCCTCGCTCCCTGCCCCCTACTGCCTGGTAAATGCCGGCAGGGGCCACTGTTTTGTTTGCCCAATTAAATGCCACATGTGTCATGGACTACCCAGTGCATATCCCCCTCAGTCGCAGCATGCACTTTTTTAATTAATCATTAATAGAAGCCACGCTCGGCTGGAAACCAAAGCAGCCACAGAAAAAGCCCGAGCCAGAGTCAGAGCCGGATAAAGGCAGGCAGTTCCATTCCCAGATGAATGCCAAATTGTAGCCTTTGATATGCCCGCTGGAACCTACTCCAGCACCGACACCAACTCCGCGACTATGGCTCCAGCAGCAATTAGCGAGCGGCCGGCAAATATACAACTGTTGCGCCAAGCCAAGTCCCCAAGCACGTCCCAGTCCGGGGCCGCCAAATGCCAAATGCAACTGAGTCTAATTCGCTGCGTCAAATGAAACCGCACAAAACTAAAAAGAATCAAATAGAATATGCTAAAGGATAGTGTCCGATGGCCGGCCTTAAAGAGGGAACTACTTTATTCTCATATGACTCTGGAGTTTATCTTCGATCATTCTACAATTTGTATTCTCAAAAATGTTGGAGCTATTTTCTGATTATTCTGCAATTGGTAGGCATTAATATCTGTGTGTATATTAAAATTCAAGGCCGAAACTGTGTAATTGGCGTCTTCTGCCTTCTTTAGACTAATATACAAATCCCGCAGACTCTCACTAACAATTGGTTACAGGGTATACTAGTTCATTCTTAATGTGACAACCTGTGCACACAAGAAACCATGTTAAGTTATGAGAAATTTTTAATTTTGTGACATTTATTTATGATAATTTTTTATTCTACTTCGTAAGCACAGAACAGTCAGGGAGCAATTGTCTTAATGGACTCTAGATAATTTATACATTAGTTCAATCTTCACGATAGTGCTCAAAATTTTCCTCTCAGCCAATATACCCTAGTTAGAGTCGCAAAAAATACCAGAGCAACAAGAAGAGCACGCATAACCACATTGCATTTGTTGGGCTCCGCGTCGCATGGGGCTGGGGCAAACCTAATGTAACAATTGACCTGGGGGTCATGTCGCCAACCTCCCTCGTCCCCTTTCCACTACAGCTCTTCCTCCTTGCCGCAGCCATGTGCCGCTGCGTGCCTCAGTTGCAAATACAATTTGCTGCACTCGGTCGAACACATTCCGATTTCGCATAATTTTATTGGCTCCGACGACGCCGACGACGACAGCAAACAGAATCAACAGTTTTCGATGCCCGGCGTTGTCCCCCAGACGCAATGCGACGCGCTCCCTAATGCATTTTTGTAGGCGCGAGGGCATATGCCAGGGCCAGCGACAGAGTCTGCTCCAGCGAAAGAGTCGGAGCCCAGAGCGTCCTCCTTCACCATGCTTTGCATATGCAATCGCCCACAAAATCGGGCAGCCAGAACCAACTACAGCTCGGAGCCAGGGGCCAAAGGGTTTGCATTGCAAAAATGCTAATTAGGCGTAATTCGCATAAAATTCGCAAACATTTGCTGTCATTGGCACGGCCGAGTAGGACGCCTGGCGCCGGCAGCTGGAGGATTCGGTTCAGATTCAGCGCGGACTCGCGCCCTGGCCATTTCTGGCTATGGCAATGGTTTTTGATTTATGAGCGCCGACGCCTATCAGCGGCACATCAACAGCGCCAATCGTCGGCTCATCCGTCATCGCAGGCCACACCCGGAGATGGATATGGATGCTGCTGCTGCTCCACGGCCTCTGCCGCGGGCAGCCTGATAAATTATTAAGTGTGCGAGTGTGTTGTGTAAGCTTATGCGATTCTGATACGGATTTGTTTTGTTCTCTGCTGTGATTTCGCTTTCATAGTTTTGGCCAAGAGCAGCTGCACGCATAAGCTTATCCATGGAGTCTATTTGTCCTTCAAAGCTTACAAATGCCTCGCAAGCATATACCCCGGCCTTGCTCATGGTATTTAAGAGTACTATTTTGACATGAATTTTGACTAAAATGTACGTAGTCTTATTTGTATGCAGGATTAATCAAGATAGAAAACCGTGTACAAAAAAACAAACCTCGCTAAACCTGAAAATCTGACGAAAATTGACCGAGTTATGGGATTGGGAAATTTGGCCTATATGATATCGTAGTCCGTTGTTTTTAAGACTTGGCGCATTCATATAAAGCAGGGAGGATTTCTTAATTGCGTAGTTTGTTTGAGGTGTCTGAATGAGACAAAAAAAATGTTTTTACACAAAATAAAGCTTCGACAGAATCTGTGGCAGCTGTATGAGGGCCCGATCCAGCTGGCTCTAAGACATGTACTGCGTGTAACAGAAAGTGGGAACTATCCAGATAGCTCTCAAACTGAGCAGAAATATAAAAATAAATAGGGCAAATATATAATTTATGAGGTCGCAAGCAATAATTAAATTTCAAACAGGTACAAATTGAAAACGAATTACATTTTCAGCAAAACGGTTCGCCTAAGAAAATGTTAAAATTACAGGAAAAGTGCTTTTGGTTAACTTAAATTCCGCATCCTTGACCCTGTGAAGCTGTTCCACAGCCCGATAAGCTTTTCTAGAACAAGAAAAGAGTCTATTTTATTAATTAAATGGCTGTGTTGTTGATCACAATGAAGGTGGATGGAAGCTGGAGAAGGGGAAGAGAAGCAGCAGGAGGAGCATTACTCAATTGGATTCGGGGCAGCAACTGAAGGGGGAAGGGGCAAGTGGGTGCGGGGCTGGCAATAACGTTCACTTTGCGCAAATACTCAGCCTCATCTCCACTGTGGGCGGGGCAGATGGGCAGCTCTCAACTATTGTCCATGTTTGTGTACCTGGCTGGCCCGTTTTCTGGGCCAGGCCGAAAGTGCCAAGCATTGTCGTATCCGATGAAAGGATTTCAATGTCACTCGGCGGCGTCTGTTTGACGGAAGCGTCGCCCGTCCCGGGTCCATTCCATTAAGCCACGTTTTGGCGACCACAGAAAACGTCGCAATAAAAATACAGGAAAAACCCTATCGCTGTCTCGCTCTGTGGCCACTTTTGTGGTCAATTAACGGCCGCCTTTTTGGCAGCTTAATGTTTTGTTATGAATTTAAATGACCCACTGTGTACCGTGGGCTTCTGCCTCTGCCTCTGCCTCAAGCCGGCATTCAAGCGAAGCGAAGCGCCTGCCCCAACATGCCGCCGTGTGTCGCCTTAAGCTGCCAGCGGCAGGCCAAAAACCCAGCTCACACACGTTGTGACAACACCTGTCGCCGTGAAATTTTCAACAATTTAGCTAATGACTTTCCCAGTCGGCGCTAGCCCCAGCAGGTGTAAAACCCCCCTCCCCAAACTCAACCTATGTTAATACCAAATTAATTATATGCCATGCAGTGAAATTAATCAAGTGTAGCGCCAAACCAGGCAAACCAAAATCAACTACACTTTCGACCTGAACTCTATTTAACCCCAAAACAAGTCCCCCCTCCCTATCCCTTTACCCTCCTTCGACACCGCCTGGGGGGCCATTTCATTAATCACACTCAACACTTGGGCAGGGCTTGAAAGTAGAGGAACCTGCGAGACGGTGGCGTCTAAAGGGGACAACTGTAAGCTCACTTGTGGCCAATGTCAAATGGTTTTTGGCTGCCCAAAAAACGCTTCAGTTCCTGATTATTTATTATTGTTTAAGGTGTTGCGGGCGGCAAGAGTGTGGAAGGGGGCAAGGTGGCAAGGAGGCGGGGCAAGTGGGCCGGGTAGTCAGGTGCAAGCTGCACTTATACGGATGCTTATGGAAATTAATTGGCAAAGCCGCACATTGAATTTGGGCCAAAAAAATTAAGTATTGGCGGAGAAAATTAATGAATAGAGATTAGAAAAAGATGAGATACTCTTTATATTAGTTATGATATAATAAATCAAATAATTTAATTTTTATTCCCAGCTAGCCATTCATATAAGATTCAAGCTTTTCAAAAGTAGGATAAATCGAACGATTTTTGATATGTTATTTATTTGTTGATATTGATATATTGATATTTGTCAGGAATATAATAAGGCTCTTATAATGAAAGTCAGGTTAAGATATATGAGATAAAATCGAAAAATTTCGATTTTCACTTAATCTGCCTATAGCCAGATCAGGGAAACAAAGCTTTGCAAAGTTTCAACAGGAGAATCAACGTATACTATGCAAGGAAAGGCTTGGTAGAATCTTCTCTTAATATTGATTACAAATTTATATATACCTCAGAGCCTCTCCCTTTGAGCGTTACATATTTCGTGAAAAAAGTTAATGTACCCTCGGCTAGTGTAAAAAACCTAATATTTACCCTGTAAACAGCACAAACAATTAACGCTTCTTGTATCAGCTAAGACAATTTCGATGTAGCATAATTAGCATGGACACAAACCACGGGGCAACTGAAACTTGGCATCCTTATAGCACGCAACTTATAGCAGATATTTTATAGCGCCTAACTATTTTTAGCTCCCGCCTAAAATTATAACGAAAACTCTCCAAATTTCGACCAACCGCGTGCAGCAAAGTATGCTATGAAAACCGATTCATGACAATAGAGCGCTACGCAGCCGCTAGATGGCGCGCTCTGTTTAGCACCTGCAGAAAGGTTTTTATCGTTTGCCCGTTTCAGTCGCGCGATCGGCCGCATACGAAACAGGTGAACGCAGCGCACTGCGATAAGTAACGG